GGTCTTGGGAGCGCCGCGTTCCCGGTCGCTGTTGGTGGCTCTGCGCCTTTGTCCCGGCGGCCTTTGTTGGGTGCTCGGCCTCGTTTCTCCCCTCTCTTAACTTTGTGGAAATCGCGTAATTCCGCAGCGAACTCAGGTGCCCCTTTTGAACGGGGCCCTCTGGTGCCGTTGGCTGGCTGTTTGCGGGCTCGTCGGGAACGAGCCCTTTCGCTGTGCGAGTGAAACCGTGGCTCCTGGTAGCCCTTCTCCTGTGAAGACAACGGCATTGCTGCTTCTGTGTCGCTTAGTGTGAAACCCGGTGCTCCTAATGCTTTTCCTTGTCTCTCCTCTTCGCAACGTGCTTCTTGATGCACGGGCACCATCGCCTTTCGGGAGCGACCGTGGCGTCCAGCTAGGTTTCCCTGATTTCTCTAAAACTAATGAATGTGTTTGTTTGTTTTTTTTTTCTGGAAATAGACTGGATTTAGTTATCCAGCTTTAAAAGGTGATTTAGCCAGCACTTAATGATTCTATTGATTGGTTGAAAAAGAAGAATTCATCCATCAAATTCGTGCATTGACCTAGTGTGAGAATTATTTTTTGATCCTTCTCTGCTACGAGTTAACTCTTTTCGAGCTGTCTTGATTGCTACTTTATGTAGTTTGATCAATAAGTAGGGATCCTCGTGTGGATGTCTGGGGATATTTTCCTGTTACAGCGAGAATGCTGCATGAGATTGCTGTAGCTTAAATTTTACTCGTTTCTTGATGCGTCTGGGCCAATTTAAAGAGAAAGGGCTTTAAGCATTTAAACGCTCTGGGGAACACGGGCACACCTAGTGTGCATTGAAGTACCTGGCGCCCGTTGTTTTCATCTGATGCCTACCCTGAATGCTCTGTTTGTCTTCTTTATTATTGAGATTTTCTTAGGCTTTGAAAATCCATATTTGTCAGATCTTTACCAGAGCTGTCTGGACCAATCAGGTTTGGCTACTCTTACAGAGAGCAAGCTGATGTGACTTGCATCATGTTATTACTCAGCAGGTATAGGTCTTGGGTAATGCATCCATTCGTTCACAATCTTGTTTCAAATATTCAGATATTTCTTTAAAATTCTTTAGTAAATACTAGATATTTGAAGGATGAGGTTTGGCAAATCTTACTGAGGTGTAAAACCGTTCCTGCCTGCAGCTAGCTTCTCACCCTGTCATGGTGTAGCACTGACGGAGAAGAAAGGTGGAAGGGCCGTCTGCAGCTTCAGCTGCCCTGTGAGAGCCTGGGCCTCTGCACGGAGGAACGCTGGTGGTTTGGGCTCGCTCTGCAGCGCAGGTGCCCACCCTGGCAGCGAGCAGATTAAAAACTTAACCAGCCTCAGCAAATGCTCTGAGGGCATCTGTCAGACCCAATGTTTTTCTGCTCGTGGTGACCGTGTTTGATTCCAAGTTCTTCTCTTTTGACGCTTACGTCTGAAGTTTCTCCCAGGTTGTGCCGTGTGACCTGAGAGAGTCCTGGGGGTAGGAGCTTAGCTCTCTGCTTCTGTTTTAATTCTTTCTAACCTTACGTCTGGATTTAAAACCTGTGGAAGCTTCTTAACTTTTATTTCTTGATATGAGAGATGCTCTAATCAAATACATCTGCAGAAGAGATCCTTTAAGCTGCTTTTAGAGTACCTTGTTGTAGATGTTAAGACAGACTTTTTAAATTCAAAATAAGCATGTGCCAAGAAATTTCTAATGGTGTTCTGCTCTAGAAAGTGAAGATATTAGTTTTTGAGGGTGGATTTTTTTACTACTGTTCTTCTTGAGAACATTTTTTTTTTTTTTAGAAAGACAAAATGTTTTAAAAAATTGTATGTCGTTGTGCTGCTCGAGATTTGCTGATTACTTCTTTGATTTCCCACCTCCACATGCTGTATGGGTATTCTTACTGTGAGTTTTGTATTTAAAAGATACTTTCTTGAGGTATCTTGATTCAGCAGATGCTTCAAAGAGTTTATGGCGGACACCTTGTCCTGTGGATTCTTGTGCCCCTCCAGATTTCAAGTGACATTAAACACTAACTCAGGCTTTCGCTGGATTTTAAAGGACACGCAAAATACAACTTTCAGCTCTATTTTCTTTTGAACTGCGGTCCAGATGTTTCCAAAGAAAACGCCTTGCTTATTCTGCCCTCCGTAGCGTGCGTATGACTTGGAGGACAGGAGAGGCACAGCTGAAAGTGTTTGTGTGTGTCATGTTCCCCGCCTATGCCCATAGGTGATGACAGCTCTCTGCAGAAGCAGCGTGTGGGCCTGTGGCTCCTTGCTTGGGCCGTCACCCCGAAGGTAAACGTAAGGCTGCATGGGTATGTGCTGTCCTACTGCATTTCATGGCTTTTACAGAGACTGTACGTGGCTTTGCTTGACGTTTGTAAAGTTTGTATTACCTCTACAGTATCGGAGAACGGTGGTGTCTTGCTGGTGAATTTTCCTCCTGAAAAGATAAAGATGTGTTTTGGCAGGTCCTAGCGGCACCCATAATGAAATTTTGCAGCTGAGATGCTCTGTGACGTACTATGAAGCAGAGATCCAGACAAGCTGTGGTGGCAGTGCTGACACCCAGCCGTGTTACAGATCTGCTCTGCTATAGCCCAGAGGAGCGGCTGTATCCCAGCCTTGCGGTTGGGCCGGAAGTCCGGCAAGTGGGGCTTGGCAGCTGCGACTGAGAGACCCGAGTGATTAAACCGGAGCCTTCCTTGGCCTGGGTGGTAGGAGAGGATCACCAGGATACAGAGGACCTGGAGTCACTCCTGTCCAGAAGGGATTTGAACCTGTTTCTTTGTCAAGATCCACCTACCCGCACCTTCGCTGGAGGTGACTCCTCCTCTCCTTCTGAGCGTGTGCTGTACAGACAGGCTTTAACTGGGGCAGAGATGGGGTGCCGGCTGTGTGTGGAGTGAGTTGTTGCCTGCCAGGTTGCCTACTGCTTTTGCGTTCTGTCTTGAGTGATTTCTCTAACCAGAATAGCTTCCACAAGAGGGAGTTTCATTTCAGAACACCCCACGGCCTTGCTTTTACAATACTGGCCTGGCTCTAACCCATGTTTTTCCAGCGAAAGCTTCACTATAGGCTCCATCAGGAGGCAGAAATGTTTCTTGTTTTGTTCTTGCTGAGGCAGCTTGAGGCTTTCCTTAGGCAGCTAATCTGAAGTACAACTTCATGAGTTCTCTCTTGCCGTCGTACCGCCTAGGCCGTGACGTCTGCTGACGTCTGTTGTGGAGTTCGTGTTTCTATTTCAGGTCTGGCTTGATGATAAGGAAGATGGGTGACTTCCTACCAGGTTGGGTAACTTTGTAATAAGTTTCTCTTAGTCAAGGGAGATTGAATCATAAATTATAAGGGAAAAAAGCTATACGTTTAAATGCATTTATTTATTTTACTAGTGTATTATAGTCTTTTCCTTATGTGAAACTACTGGAATGGAAACATGCAAGTATGAAGGGATAAGCTGAAAAGGCCTGTGACTAGCTCTAACCGATTTTACAGAACTATAGTGCCTAAATTCAAAGCACTTTTTTAGTCTTAATTCTCAGGAGTTCAGAGGTGCTCAACAGGCAAGAGAATTTGCCTGGACAACTGATGAAAGAATTACTGCAGCAGATTAGTGCAATAATCTTGAATTATGAGAGAGGTAAACGTTGTCAAGGATAGAAACTTATGACTGATCCCTAGGCAGACATGTCTCTAACTGGACTGAGACTGTTGGCCCTAGGCAGATGAATTGCTTTCTGTGAACCTGAAGGCAATTACAGAAGTCGGCGCTCTCACCTGGTCGGGTCCATCCTCTTTGACTACGGTTCTAGCTGATGGTAGGACTGGCTTGAATTGTTCTTTAGAAGTTTTGGTTGCTTTCTGCTGACTATAGAAGGAACTTATGAAGATAAACCTTACTAGTGCAAAGCTAGCCTGGGCAAATACCACCTTTTTCCTCACCTTTACCTCTCTCTTTCTCTGCCACAACATATGCTTGATCAGGCCATGATGTTTTTATTTCATTAGTCTTATCCTAAGTAGTTCATAGTCTGATTAGCCAAAAAGAAGCATTATCCCTCCTTTACAGATAGGAAACTGGTTTCGCCTTGGTCTGAGGATGGATATCCCTTGTTAGATACCATTTAACATTGCCCAGGGCTGAAACCACCACTAGCTGCCCTAGGGCTGCAACCACTAACTAGCACTAGCAAATCTAGCAAATATGGTTATGAAATATTCCTTGCATCTGTTATTTAGTTTTCTCTCCCTCAAAAAAAAAAGGGGGGGGGGCAAAAAAGAAAAGACTTAAGAAAAGAAACAAGGTGATTTGGTACTCAATAAATAAAATGTATTTACAGAAAAAAAATTATTTACGTATGAAATCTCTGGGTTTAGTTGCAGTAAGATGATATCTGGAATTTCTGAAACTGTTTTTCTTTTTTTTTTTTTTTTTTCCTTCCCCATAAAGGAAGATGTAGATTCCTTTATGAAACAGCCTGGAAATGAGACAGCAGATGTAGTTCTTAAGAAGTTGGATGAGCAATACCAGAAGTATAAATTTATGGAACTTAATCTTGCTCAAAAGAAAAGGAGGTAAGTTGTAATTTTTGCAGGACTGGAAAATATTTAGTGCTATTCTATTTTTAAAATATGGTGTAGTTTATTTAAATGTCCCAAAAAGTCATGTTAGAAGAGCTAATGCAGTAATTTCAGAAAGCCTTGGCTTCACCTCTTGGGTTTTTTCTTTTTTTTCTTTTTTCTTCCTGAAGATTATATGTAAAAACTTGCAGTACTGCTAAATTGGTCCTTAGTGTTTAAGGCCAAAAAATACTCTTCCTCTCAATTTTTTTCAGCCTAATGTAAATAAGAATATAGTTTGACAAATGGCTTTTATATCAAGCCTGTAACTTTTGGCTTAGTAATTTCGTCTGTCCTCAATAGCTTCAGTCTTGATTTGAAGCTAGGTGAGAAATACAAATTTTTTTAAACCCCAAATCAAAGCTTTGAATAACATTTTTATTTGAGATTAAACTACTTTGCACGGGGAAGAATCCCTTATAATTTGTACCTGGTGGCCTGGCCTGCTTCAGAGCTAACTGCTGTGTGAGCCTGGATGATTGTAGAGGGCTGGGTGCCTGGAAGGCTGGTGGGGATCTGAGCATCTCTGCTAGTCTGCTGCAAGGTCTGTCAGAGGCCCGTGCCCTGGGCTCCGGCGAGAGTTTTTGTTTTAATACCGGTAAGTCTTGGAGCGCTAAACTGTTAGTGCAGTTTGTGATCCTCAGAAGAAACACACTTGTTCTGTTTGATCTACTGTGATTTTTGTCTGTGTTTCTTCTGAGGTTTCCCTCTCCTCTGTTGACATCAGAAATAGGCAAAAATATGCCATTTTAGCAAATAGACATAAGTTAATAAATGTTTGTTATATTTTGAAAGCTGTATGTATTGCTCTGCTTCTTTGTTGAAGACAGAAAGCTGTTGAGCATCACTATGATAAGGGGCAGGTGAAGCTGTAGATGGTTTTACATGCTGTATCTTCAATTTTTCACTTTAAAATCTGGAAAGCTGTTAGAATTTCAAGTTTTAAAATGGAAGTTGGATTATATAATAAAACTGATCACTTGTTTAGGAAATTTTGTGTCTGTGTAAAATAATAAATTATGACTGTTGTTAATTCACAGGCTAAAAAGTCAGATTCCTGAAATTAAACAGACATTAGAAATTTTAAAACACATGCAGAAGAAAAAGGTAAACTATTTTGAATATCTAATGAGTATGAGTAAAGCTAACTGCCTTTCCACCCTAACAGAACACATTGCAAGAAATGTTTTGGAGAGCACACTTAATATGCCTTTAAAAATAACAGAATTGTTTTAAAGGTATGTAGTACTTTTTGAAAGCTAGTTCAAAAAAAGTTAATGTTTGTAATGGAAACTTCACTTTTAATAGTGTATAGATCGCAGTTAAGCTTGGCCTTAGACTCTAGTCTTTACAGAGTTTCTGCATTGTTTTTAAATATGTATTTTTAAAATGCTTTAGTCTTGGGACTCTTAATTTGAATGTTGAAGTAAAATTATGTATAGTTTTGCAGAAGTTAATATAATATCAATGGCAAAATGCAGAGAGGTGTGCTCTTTACTGCAACTTCTGTGTTTCTGACATAAGTCTCTAGTGAAAATAGCAATTTTAAGTTTTATCATTTGTCCTAAGGAATCCACAAATCCAATGGAAACCAGATTTTTATTGGCAGATAATCTATACTGCAAAGCTTCAGTTCCTCCTACAGATAAAGTTTGTTTGTGGTTGGGGGTAAGTAAAATGCAACTCTTTCTGAAACCGTTTTTAATAACTTACGGGCTCAAAAGATCCTGTTCATTGCTGTCTTATCTGTATGCCTCAAAGACATCGTATAATTCTGTTCTGTGTGTGTAGTAGAACTGTGTCCTGTCAGCGGAGCAAACGGAATAAGACAATTTCAACATGTCAGTAGAGGTTTCATCTACTACTTTATTTGGTGTAGAGAATTGTAACTTAATGGATTTTTTGTTTCGCCCAAGAAACATTCATGACTATTTCCTTATCACGTTGTGGTTCAAATTACCATCCACCATGATTGGTATGTGTCCAACACAACTTACTTTGGCAACTAGCTTCCCATTTTCTCTATCTCTTTTCTGTATGTAGCATCTTGCTCTCCTTTTCACATAAGTTTTAGGAAACAATTTTTTTTGTAATCTTCCTCATAGCATTTTTTTCCCCTCTTACCAGCATTTAGAGTACAGCTCATACTAAAGATTGGTGGGATCAGAGCTTGAAACACAGATTTTTAAGTGCTTAACTGGTATCAGGTTGGGATAGTCCTTGTTCGGAGGCTTCCTTATCGGTAGAGATTACTCGCCAGTGTTTATTTTGAGGCCTCTAAATCCCTGATGATCCCTTGTGACTGGCCAAACAAAACTCTGGTTAGGACAAAAGCATTGTTGATAAATGCAGCTGTAGGATGCTGTCTGATTAGGCAGTTGCTCCCAAACTCACTGACTTTTTGTCCCATGATAAATAGAGATTTCTTTCTGATGCCACCTTGCTTTCAAGAGACTGGCTGCAGAATTTACAAACTGTGACTTTCCTGGAGCATTGCAGGTTTGATTTGCCCACAGCATGTTGGGGAAGGTTCACCCTCCTGATGGTTCATACGGAAAAGCTATCATGAAATAGCACAAGCAATTTATATTATTTGACCTTCTGTACTTGTGGCTTACCGTCTGTGAGTTGGACTATGTGTATTCATTTTAGTGGGGGCTTGTATTTATTTTAGGGGGATTGGAGGTAGGGGGGAGCAGCTTATTACACTTCCAGCTCTGTATAGCATTCCCTGGAATGGTGTCTAGTTAAGTAATAATAGGATGTGACTCTGTTCAGTACACAGTCCTTGAATAGGACAGAGCTTTGTTGGTGCATCTTGACTTGATACTGCTTGTTTACCTCTTTACGTGGTAGCTCCTTACAGAAATGAAAATTTGTAGATAAAAGCCACCGTGGCATAGGCTAGGGCTCTTGTACGTTTTATGTGTTTGAATATTTGTAATACTTTTTTTTTTTTTTATTAGTGACTTCTTGAACTAATGCCCTTAGGCAGTTTGCCAGTCTCCCACAAAGGGAGATTCTAAACTTGAATGTGGCAAAAAGTGTTTTTAAAATTAGTTAACAGTTGATGCTGCTAAGTGTTAGGAGCCTTTTGCTTTTCAGAAAAGATGAAGATGAGATGCTGATACATAAAAGGCTAATGCAATCAACAGAGTGAAATCCCTTGTTGCTTAGCGCTGAGGAGAGAACTTTTTTCGTGTCACTAGAGGGTTTTTGTCTCTCGGTTACTTAAGTGACGGAGGCCTCAAATGATTTCTGGCTTTGCTCTTCCTGAATCTTGTAGTCTTGGCCTATCAGGGCAGGCGTCTGCTGATGTGATGAGTTATAAACAGGCTGAAATACTCATGCTATGGCTTATTTCTTTTAATGCAAGGGTAAAAGCATTTTTTCAGTTTAAAAATATTTCTTTTTTTAGGCCAATGTGATGCTTGAATATGATATTGATGAAGCTCAGGCTCTGTTAGAGAAGAACTTGTCAACAGCCACAAGAAACCTTGATTCCCTAGAGGAAGACCTGGATTTTCTTAGAGACCAGTTTACCACTACAGAAGTCAGTATCCTTTTTTTTATTTTTATTTTAAATTTGCAGGGAGGTGGTATATGTGATGGCTAACCTACAGGTATTTGTTAATTTTCAGACATGCTTTTATGTTAAACTAGCTGTAGTTCAAGTTCTGTAGCACTCCAGGAACTAAGTTTTCTTTTAGCAGTGAAACAGGATATTGTGTTTCCAGTGCCAGGGTGAGGATAGGTGGGTTTGATGTGGCAAAGCTTGTGCCAGTAACTGGCTCCCTGTGAAAACTACTGAAATGGCTGCAAACCTGGCCTGGGAATGACTTGAAAGTGTGGGTTGGTTGGGGCTGTTGGTAATAGTGCCTGAGTCAACTGCCATTGCAGCGTTCACTAAGCAATATAAGTACTGCTGTAGCAACCTCGGTGCTAGCTAAAGCGCTGCTTAACTTCCAGCTTCTTCATAGTATTGTGAACCCCCTCCAGGGTTTGGGTTTTCCTCCCCCTCCCCCTTTTTTTTCTTTTTTCAACTATTTTAGTGATGAGGACAGCCTTCAGCTGAAGCATTAGATAATTCAGCCCATGAAGGCACAACTACTGGTTTTCAATGTGGATATTTAAGATAACTAGTGAGGCAGGATGAATGCCTGAAATAGGCAAACGTGACTAATACGGGGCAGGTTGACTGAAGTCAAAAGAGTAGCTGCAAGCAAAACTAAAAACGCTTTTCTTGTAATATCTTCTTAAAGTGTTAAATAAATGGTATAGATGCTACAGTATTAGTATTCCTGTGTTAAGGTTTTGCACCAACACAGCTCTTTCATTAATTGGTCTCTATATTTCTGTATTGACTGTCACAAGTAAGGGAAATGAGTTATGTGCAGCCAGCTACATAACCTGCTTTTTTTTTTTTTTTTTTTTTAAACTTAATGCATGTGCTGTGTCCTTAATTCCATACCCTCAGATATGGCTAGAGTTTATAATTGGGATGTAAAGAGAAGAAACAAGGAAGACCCTTCCAAAAATAAAGCATAGTTTTGCCAATTTTAAATGTGGTCTCAATTTCCAAATATTTTTTATTTAAACACCCCCAAAGTTCATTCTTAAGGGACTGAGTTACTTTAATCATTTCAGTAAATGGTAAAATATATAAAAATAAAAACAATGGTGACCACCATTTTATTTATTTGTAAACTCAAAATTTGGTTTCATGCATGCTTCCTGAAATTACAGATCTTTTTGAAAAGACGCCACACAGCCTAGCAAAGGACATAGCATTTTGAGGAGACCAGTCTGTCATAACTAAATTTCTTCCTGAAAGTTTGAAAATGTGAGGTGCTTGTATGAAATCGGGTCTGACACTTTAGCAGGTTAATGTAGTGTAAGAGTTTACTCTTTCATCTCTGTTATGTACAGTTGGTGGAGTTGAAATCAACTTGGGCTGGGAAGACACACAGCTATGTTTTAGTAAACAGAACAAATACAGTGAAGTCTTGGATTTTGTTTTAGTCAGTTACTTCTTCAGCAGCATAAACCTACAAGCATTCCTGGATATCTATCCACTTTGGATAAACTTGATTTTAATAATTACTGGTTAGTTAACTGCCTGTTACTGAACTCTCAGCACTTTACCTGCAACAGTTTGTGACTTGTCTTCAGAAAGGAATGCTGAACGGAGTAAACAGCACAAGCTATGTCAAGACTTCAGGTGATCTCACCCTGTTCTTTCATACACGTGCACACACTGCTTATTTTTGCAAATGTGTTGAACAAGGACACCAAAATGCTGATAGCCTGTAAACAAGAAAACCCCCCTGTATGATCCCTTTAGACAATGTCCAGTTCAAATGTCTTAACACTCTCAGCCTCCTAGGTGGTGAAACCTGTATTAAATATCGATGGTCTACTGAAGTACTACTTTTTCTTTGGTTATTATGAAGCCTTGCAAGATTGTTGCCTTTTACCTCTGCAGTTTCTTTCTAAAATGAAATGCTCAGTGGTGATGTCAGTGGCTAGTATTCACGCTCTTGTGACTGAGAATACAGGTTTCGCTACAAAATAAATGCAGATGTTAACTGTTCAATCTTCATGTAATAAACAATATACCTGTAAAGTTTTTGTACTTTTATTTCATGATATTAAAATAGTAAAACTAAACAATTGTGGCAAACACATCTTTTTGTGCATCTTTCTTTGTGGGGGAATGTCATGAATCTTGTGCGTAATCCTGTATAACAGTTTCCTGCCTTAAGGGTAGGGGTGAAGAAACTTGGTTGAAACAGCAAATGTGAAAAGTGTAGCTGCTGAGTACTGGCTTGAGTGAAGCAGTGGATGTGAGTCGGCACATCTGGATTTGTGACTACAAGCAAACTGATCTGACACCACTGTGGCTGTAAAAGAGTAAGAGCTGCAGAAATGGAAATAATGGTAAGTTCTTAACACTGGTCACAAATAAGTATTTGGAAAAATCTTACTTAGGGGAAGGACCCATGGTACTTTCACAACTGAATTCAAGAGCAGGAAAGATGGAGGAAAATAGTTACAGATTTGCATCAGTTCTGTCCCCAGGCTTTCTAAGCCAACTGCTGTTGCATAAAGCATTTCCCAAAGCTTTCAGACAAAAATTAATTGGTTGTCACTGCATTACTCAACTTTTTTTCCTTGTTCAGCTACTCAGTTACTTTCACTACTACGCTGTGCCAGTTTCATTAGAAAATGTCAATTGTATGTCTTGGGTTCTGGCCCTGGTACGAAGGTGTCCGGAGGAGATGGGACTCCTCAGTGCCTGCTGTCTGGTGACTCACTGTAGGTTGTGCTCGACTTGGCTCTTCCATACCTCTTCTGGAGGATGATACTGTTTGTTGCTGTGTCTTTGATTTTAGCAGAGAAAAGATTACTGTATCTAATACCTAATGTATTATTAGGTAACATATCTGTATGAACTCTGCTAGGTGGAAGCTGAGACTACCCAAACTGCAGGCTTCTTCCTTCCCCTTTCTTTTTAAGAGCATCAGCAATGAAAGGCAGTTGCAAACACATCCTGATTTCTCTTGCAGTTTTCTCTTCTGTTTGGATTAATGAGATTCCCAACAGGCTGAAGTGTGCTTTCCCCCTCTCTCTGGCTGGTCCTAAAGCAGCGACTGCCTGCCTTTGTTGTGCACAATGAAATGATGAGTTAAGCATTTATATGCTGGCAAAAGTACTGTGTACAATTACCAATGACCTAATGCTTTGTATTAGAGCAGGGCTGGGAAGAGATGGCCATAGGAATTATATAAGTTTTTTTTTTTCTTGCTATCGAGAAAAAAAAAAAAAAAGGCACAAGAATGCTGCTGCGCAGATGGATCTCTGTCCAGTGCTGCTGGCCTCTGCAGTTAAATTGTCATTACTGTAAGAACAGGATGTCAGTGTGCAGAAACTGTGCTGGTTCCTATGAAACTAGTCTTCCCTATGAGGAAAGGCCTCAAGGGGAGACCAAGGTCCTCTCCCCCTCCCCCGGTCCCTCTACTACTACTGTGGGATGTAGGCTTGGATGTAACAGTTGTTGTATGTGCAAGGATGAAACATGCTTTTGTTTGTTTTTCTTTTTTATAGAATGGCTACAGTTTCTCAGAAAGGTAGGTGGCTGGTTTTAAAGATCTAATCAGTGGCCCTTCAGAGGAAACATGTATAGCAGATACTGTTGCAAAAAGTGTCTGCTGTTTATTGTTGATCTAGTCCATATCAGATTTTTAGGTAAGGTTGCTGTAGTACAGGTACTAGATGGCTACTGATAAGGAATGTGGGGGGAGAACCCCCACCAGTTTGTTTTACAAGTTTTGAATTTCACATTATCACATAGTAACCATTTTGCTAAATACAAGCATATTTTCAATCACATACAGCTAAATACAGCAGCATTTTCACATTTCATTACAGTGCATAACAGAAAGCAAGGAAAGGCATATAGTATACTTTTATTTTGGAGTTTCTGAGCAATTTCAATCATCTAACATGCAGACTTTTTAATGCGTGGTTGAAAAAAACCCACAAAGTTAGCTTTTTTTTTTTTTTTTGTCCTAGAGTAAAAGAGCTCCTGACCTTTATCCTTTATTCTGTGAAAGGTGTCACCTTCTGACTTCCCTAAATCTCTCTTGCGCTAGAAGGCAAAGCATTAAAACCAGTTGTTAGAAAAGAATTCTTAGCATAGCCTGTAAGTTCTTCATCTTAGAAAAATCATCCCAAATTTTGTACAGATGAATCTACATTTCCTATATTTTAATAAGCTGTCTAGAAAAATGCAAGGAATTAGAAAAAGATGTATATAATAATTTCTCTGTCATTTAATAGAACCATTTATTACCTCTAAGTAGTTAAAACTGCATACACTTTCTTCTGTACTGTTCCATTTTAGAATTATGATTCTTGTATTATAGATTCCAGATTTACTTGTAAGGCCTGAATGCCCTTACTTATTTAGGCTTTCTGAAACTTCTCTCCGGGAGCAGGATAGGGAGAACATCCCAACCAATTAAATAAAGTATTGGTTGCCTTTATAGCATACAGGGTGAAAGGTGGTGTTCCCCTTTCTTCTCTTTCCCCCCCAGGTTCCTACATGGAGGCTTATAAAATGTTGGTATTGCTAAAACTCTGCTAGATCCACAAATTTTACTGCCTTTAACATATCACTCAAGCTCAGCCTGTAGGCCTGCTTCTGCCTTCAGCTAGGCAATCCAAGACACGCCTCTTAAGCAGAGTTGTACCCTGAGAGGCTGCAGTGGTTGTTTGGCCTACTTTTCATTTAAAGAGTGAAGAGACTGACCCTTTTCTCTTTGTTTGTCCTTGCACTAGTCAAAACAAGCCTAATGGTCCTGTTTTGAGGAGACCTTGTGCTCTCCACTGGCGTCAGCAGAAGCTGCAGGTAGAGAGCCCACGGTAGCCAAGCTCTCGTGGCTCTCTCTGCATCAATCTTCTCCAGCTTTGCTTACCTAGAAAGAGATTTTTTTTAAGAGTGTTTTTTTTTCTTTTATATCTTCAGGACGCTCAACCCAACCACCACTGATTCGACCTGGAATTTGATGGGCCTTAGCATAAGGTTTTTCAATGTGTTTATAGCCAGTTTCAGACTTGACCCAAGGGTCCTTGGCAGTGACAAGCTTTCCAAAACATGCTAGACTGTTGCCACCCCTTTCTAGCTCTACTTTGCTACCAGTGCCCTCCCAGCCAATACAACTCCGCTGCTTGCCCGTAGAGCCCAGGAACTGAAATTGGTTTCCAGAACATGGAAAATAAAACTTTTTTTTTTTAAATAGCTCTAATATGGAAACAGCTATTGTCCAAAAAGACCTGCTCAAGCGCTGCAAACCATGGGAACAGGACCAAAGAGAGAGACAGACAGCTCAATAGCAACCAGGAAAACCCACGCTTTCATAGATGGTATAGCTTAAAGCAGCACGTGGTCTCCTCTTGTCTACTTGGAGGTCTGAAATTGAACACCAAATGCTTCTTGGGGTTTCACCTAACCCCTCCCCTCTAATTAGTTTGGTGTGAAAGCTTGCAAATTTGAGTAAATGTCACTATAGTGTTTTTTGTGTGTTTGTTTAATAGGTTAAACATCCCAGGTTTGCTACAGGGGCATGGTTACTCTGCTGAACTTCAAAAGCTTAAGCCAAAACTTAGCAGAAGCAAAGCTCAAGTAGTGAATGGTGTTCCTGAAAATGGCCGCCTATGCATAGCCTTTGTAACTCAGCTACCAACCCATGATGACCAACCTGAGATGGCTCTTCCTTTGTCAAATTAAAACATGGAGGAAAACAAATTTTCCTCTTAGTGTCTCTTGTGGCTTTCCTTCTCACCCGCTCAGACACTTCTGTTCTGTGTTCCTCCTTCCCAGTGCTAGTGCTCGTCTTCCACCGATGCCAAGAAAGAAAATGACACTTTAACAGCAGAAAGTACTGATGAAGGCTGCTGCTTTCCATGCTATTTAACATATTTAAAAGCAAATCTCACCTTTGAGGCTGGCTGATGCACCTGAGTTAAGCTTTACAAGTTTTGTTTTTGTTTTTTTTTTTTGCTCTTCCTTTCCATTTCTCCTTGTGGCCTTTGCTGGTAAGATACCCAAAAGGTCAGTGATAAATAGATGGTAAGACAGAACTTCTGGGGTGTCCCGTGTGGCTGCAACACCCTAGCCTTAAGATGCAGAATATGAGGACATGTTTCTGGCTTCATGTGCCTGATCACTTAACTCTATTGGCTAGCCCTGAACTCTGGATATTTTCAGGGCAATCATCTAGGCAGTTAATACTTAAATAGTCACTGAATAATTACAACTGGACCAGCAGTTGCCACTTAGAATTCCAGTTCAGCACAGCAAGGAAAACACTGGGGGGGGGGGGGGGGGGTTTAAATTTTAATTTTTTGGGGTAGGATTTAAACTTTAATTAACCATCAACTAGCTCTTATTTTCCTCTTTAAATCCCTCAAAACAGTCTTTGATATATTGAACTAGGTTCAAGAACATAAAAAAGAAAATTCAGAAGTGTGTATACCCTTTCAGTAAACTCTCTTCCTGTGGCATTGGCCTTATGAGGAAATAATTCTGCTGCTGTTATATCTTCCTGGTAATAAACAGCTGCCACAAACCAAGATGTTCTCTTTCTTTCTCTTTCTGCCAGTGTGTCATACTATTAAACGATCCATACTGTGGCCTCAAGAGACAGCATGGAGCTACAGCTTTACTTAAAAGAGGACATACAGTTCCCTGGCATGCGCCATCTCATTCAGATCTCCTTGTGTTCATGCTCTCTCTGTTGCTCCCCCTCCTTTCTGCTTCCTATCTCCTGACAACATACACATGCACCCTCACTCATTCTCAGTTAGGTTTGTCACTCCCAATTCTGAAAGGTTATTTAGAACAGAACATGTCTTTCCTGGATCTGTTCTCTTGGTGTCCGAAACAACGTGGGAGGCTGTTCACAATGGGAGGGTTACTCTCCCTTCTGTCACACTGAGTTCACTTAATAGAGTACAGGTGGTTAGTAGAGTTCATCACCACTTTTCTCACTAGAAGAGATCAGCACAAGCATCGCCTATCTGATTTCACCACTTCTTCCGAAGAGTGCACTACGTTTGGGACAAACCCACTCTTTACCCCTTCCCATCCCTCCTGGATTGAAATGTCCCCCCTTTTAACAAGCTCATATATATCTCGAGTCAGATCAGTGAAGGCCTTCTCCACATTAATGGCATCCCGAGCTGAGGTCTCAATGTACTTCATACCATATGCAGCAGCCAGTTTCTCAGCCTCGTGCCTGGTGACTTGCCGCTGTGTGTCAAGGTCGCACTTGTGACCTACCAAAACAAAGACGATCTGATACGGCTGGACGTGCACCTTTGTCTCTTCTAGCCACTCGTGGACGTTCTGGAAGGACCTGCGGTTTGTAATGTCAAAGAGGAGGAGTCCTCCAACCGAGTTCCTGTAGTAAGCTCTGGTGATAGACCTGGAAAAGAACGATCCACAGGAGACATGTGAGTTACAGCTATTTGGGAGGAAGTGCAGAGCAAACTTTGCATATTTTTGTTTGTTTAGTTTGGAATTTTTTTTTAACTCAAATGTTGCAGTTCTGAGCACATCTGTTTAAGGCGGCAGCCTGCAGAATACAAGTGAGAGAATTTCCATTCAGTAATGTCTTACCACTTCTTTTTATGGTCTGTATAACACCTCTTTCAGCAAGACAGCTAATCTTGGCTTAAAGACTTCAGGTAATGGATAACTGCATGTCTCTCCCTTGGGTAATTGCCCCAGTGGTTTATTACTGTTCTGTTCAAAAATCCCCTTCCCTGCCCCCACATCCTTTTTGGTCTCAGTTTGCTAGCGTGGATTTCAGTATGCCTTTTACTGTTAGACTACAAAGCCCTCCACATGTAAAAGCTTTGACTGTCTTGACAAACCCATTGGTTTAGAAGCACTGTAGCAAATTAAAGGTTTTTTTCTGGAACCAAGCACATATAGGTAGGTATGTAAAAGGCAAAGAGGGAAGTTACAAAGGTCAATGGCAGACCATGGCATTGTAGGCTCCCCTACCACATACACGCAGGCTTCGGCCCATGCACAGATACATCCACCCACTCCCTGCAACATCTCCCACACGCCAGTTGTCAATACACCAGCGTGCAGCACCACCACTAACACGCAACAGGCACGTCCAGTCCCAGCTCGCGTGTCACAGCAAAATGATACACCCGCTTCCTAGGGGAATCTGTATTACTGTTGCTCTTGTTCCTGCCAAATATTGAAAATATCAACCAAAAAAAAAAAAAAAAGGTCCAAACCACAGGCTGGGAATTGGCTAGCATCTTCCACAAGTCTTCTGAGCAAGGGCAGATTTTAACACAGCCAGAAACAGCAAATGACATCAACTAACAGAGGTCTGCAGAGCAAAGCCGCGAAGGGTAGGCTGAGCTGAGTTACAGTTCAGTGACTACTACACTTGGAAACACCAAGCAGTTGTAAAATTGCAGTCTTTGTGCAAAGTCAAGGATTAGTTCTAAATCCAGAAACAATGACTGATTTTTGGTCACTGGAAGATTTTATACTGGGGCCTTGCTGGGAAATGTAAGCACGGCTCCATTTTTACCTTGGGACAAGTCCTCTTTGGTCATGCAAGACAGTTGCAAGAGGTTATTCAGTACTGCAGTGTTTGCCTATTTAAAGAAACTGCCTCAAAAAAAAAAAAAAAGAACAACTGACGTTCTCCAGTTTTGCTTTATCAACAAACATGCAGTATGGCATGGAGTGATGGGAGAAAACCCACAGCCAAACACTGAAGAAAGCAAAAAAGCTTTGGGGGGGGGGGAAGGGGGGAATGCATTGGATGATTTCTCCTGTCCCAGTAATCTGGCTCAGGGACAGAGCAGCTCTGCACATTTGGCACTGAGGGAATTAGATCTGCATTTTGCTATTGCACCAGCTGCAAACCGGTACTGGTGCTTGAGTTCACCCCCATGCTGCCACAGGAGTTTGTGTTCAGTGCACCAGCCTGGCTGCTCCTGCCAACATCAGCGATGCCTCAGGTACTTCTGAAATACATGACAGGATCTAAGCTGAATGCTGCGTTGAGGTAAAACTAGGTGAAGGTCTCAGTGCCTTGTCTCAAAGCCTTTTCCACAGCCTGCTTTCCTCAACCATCCGCAGGAAGCAAACTATACTGGCTTCACACTGTCCTTCACCCCCCCAATGCCTCTGCCAGCCTCTTATCCGGCTCTTACCTCCCTTCCTCCCACCACGCTTACATTGATATACACTTATACAAGTTGCACTTATAAAAGCTATAGTTACACAAGCTGAACAGCTTGGGGGCTCACACCTATTTTGAGCAAGTCTTAACAAAGCTTTTGCCTCTTTCCAGGCACTCTCCTTTGCTCTGCTAGCTCTAGTCCTTCCCTCCAGGCAGGAGGAGGCAGGAAACGGCTCTTCTGGAGGTGGTGGTGGTACACATTTCCACGAGTGCAGGCTGCACGTGCTTCTGCTTTTGTTAGCATTACACAACATCACGTTTGAGACAAGAAAGCACAGTAGTAGAGCCACCAGAGATGGATAAAAACCCGCTGGATGGAGGAAGAATTGGACCCCGCTCTTCTACGGCTCCAAAACAGCCTCAAAGCTGCCCCAGAAGAGCACATGTTTGAGCTGGCAAAACAAGCACACGCTTAACTCTAATTTAAGCTTGACTGCAAGGAAATCACTTCTCATTTATGTAGAGTGAGGGAGTTCACAACAGGGGTCAGGAAGAGTAATAGGGCACAGACGATAAGACCAGAGGATGCCAGCAAGGTATTTTCAAGACTACCTACACTGCTTTCCTCTTGCGAGACAGCTGTCAAACTACCACAAAGCAGACAGGAAATGTGGGGCTCAAAATAGAGAGCGCTGTGAAAAAGCACCTTTCTTAAAAAATCTCTGAGCTATGACAAAAAAAAAAGTTTGAGGGTGCTGAAGAGCACATGCACCATCATGCTTCTTGTCTCTGCCCACAAGCCTGAAAGGCTTCAGCTTATCTCAGGAATAACTGTATTTTGCCTTTTGCCAAGAAAAAAAGCCTGCAAAAGAAGTCCCAGAGCTTCTACAGTTTGAAAACCTTCACAATATTGTAAAATTGATCTTTACAGGCACGATTTCTCACCGTGCTAATGGTGACTTGGAAGGAATGAATACAAAACAGATTCTTGCCTGACCTTTTCATACTTCACAGTACACCATAAAGGTAATGGGGCTTGCTCACTTTCCCTGTATCTTTTTACACAGCAAATTTAAGCCTGTGCTTTGGCAAGGGCATTTCAAAGATGAGCAGCGTGTATTTTTATGTCACGCTCACACTTTGAACGCTGCTGCTCATCTCAGCCGGCGCAGCCTGCCCTTGCAACCGAAGGTCGTCTGCTCGTGATTCGCGCAACCCAAGAGCCAGCCTGGGTCAACCGGCATCACTAAGGCTAAGCAGCCTCCAGGGCCCCAAACTTCCTCCCGGTCTAAAGAAAGGACACTGAAGCCATCCAACAGCTTTTGCTCTTTGCCGTCGCACAGGCATGTTTTCTAAAGCCCTCAGCCAGGGCCCCTTTGACTGCTCATATGCAAGGCTGGGACGGGATGCCACGGAAAGCCGAAGTGCTTCCTCTCGCAGCAGAATAAAGCGCCAGCTCCCGGCCCTGAAAGGCTGCACGGTATTAGAGGGAAAAACAGCCAGCGGGTGAGGACTGACTACTGCACATCCTGGGCCATGCGCCAGTGTCACAGATGCAAACGAAGGCAGTGGGAGGGCTGGGGAGATTTCGTCCCCTGCATAAAACGAAAACACCCCTCAGGCGAGGCACTGTAACGCACAAGTAGAAGCTAGGCGAAGCCGCTCAGCGCCCCGGGGCACGGAAAGCCGCGCTCCCCGAGGGACGAGGACGGGGGGAGCAGAGGAGG